ACACACACACACACACACACACACACACACACACACACACATATATATATATTATGTTTAATATAATTTGTTGTATTCGTATTCGGCATATTTGCTAGTTCGATGAAACACGTATGGCGCACTCGTGGGGCTGCTGCATAGTTTCTGATTATTAATATTCAACATACCATTAGCAGTATATTTCTATTATATTTCGGCCTGAATCCCCAGTCTTTTCCCTTCTCAATCAGCATTTTACCTTCGTACATTGTCATCAGGGTGTGTTTTTCGTCCTCCAATACAGGCGCGAGACCAGTGCTAACCACATGGCTTTTGAAGCCTTCCTCTTTCTTTTTCCGACTAAAGAACGAGAACATATTGCCTGCCTACTGGAGATATGTCACCTACTTATATCCTCACGGCCGAACGATACTATAAACGAGGTCTTGGGTCGGATCTCTTCCGATTGATGTTGGTATGGATTTAACTGCAATGCCCGTCCCTGATAGGCACACATACCGTGCGCAAGGTTTGTATGCTGCAGTAGTTGAAGACTATCCAACTAGTGGTAAGGACAATGTGATGCATATATAACAGGCTGGGTCAGAAGTAAAGCTACACAGACACCGCGGGCACGTTCCACATTAAATATCAAATTTCCAATCCATTTGTATACAAAGAATCAGAATAAAATGATGTGATAAACTGATAAAAATATGACAAAATGTTAAAAAATATACATTTTAAATATCCGAGCTGTTATGTAGTAATCAATGTGATGATCACCGTGATCTCAGTTAAATACCAAATGAGGAACGCACCATGGTGACGATAAACATCCAAATAAAGATCAGGATCATGTAATACCAGCCTCAAAGAAGCTCTGTATACTCACCGTACAATGAACAATGAGGAACGTGCGGCATAGACTACCAAGCAACCTCGTATAGCAGTACAACTGTAGATACTGAGATAACCGTAAAACTAAATCAAGTATGTGTCATCGCCCCGAGGTAAAAGTTGAAAGGCCAATATTGATACTTTCATGCTCTTTCATGTCTTGGTTCACAAGGACAGATTAACAGCAACTTTATTGGTATGTAACCGTCTCGATTTGGAGGTGTATCGAGAAATCGAGACGAATGATACTAAACAACATTTGTTTACTATGGTACTTCTTCGATAGAAACGTGCCAAGGCTAGGATGTCGGATAGGATTTACGTGGGCTGTTCATTATATGACTATACGACGTCAGATGTAGCCTTTAAATATAAAGATTAAATGAATGCTGCACTTGGCGGACTAAGAGGATGTTGATGCAATGGTGTACGTGCGCATCCTAAGATCATTCCATCGAGGCTGTTCGATTTGAGAAGGCTATACAAACGTGTGTAAGAAGATAGAAGAATGAAGGCGATTTACATACGTACGACAAGATTCATTTTTTTAGTCCATTTAAATAAAATACCTGGTTTTTCTTACAAAAAAAAACAATCAAATATGATTATATGAATCATTTATAAATATATATAAATATAAATTTTTAAAATACACAGACAGAGGGAGAAGTGATTGGTGTCAAGAAGTTGAAGCCATCACAGATCACAAACGTAAATTTGCATCTTATATATTCGATATATGTACTCTAGCAGAGAGGAAGCAGTTCACTCTGATATGAATGGTGGCGTTCTGTACATAGAGACGATACATCCGTTTCACAGTAAAAACAGGGTCCTGATCCCATATGTAATGGACACATAGACAGTCATGCAGTCGCAATGGGATAGGCTGGCCTCCTTCTTCCTGGTGGTAGGTGCCGGGGAGGATGCCCAGTCGTTTGATCCTACTGATGGCGCTATGCTCGGTCGTATGTTCGAGGATGAGGGAACCAAAAAAGCAAAGGTACTGTAGAGTTTGGTACGGTTTGGTTCAGAAAAATACTAGTGCGCCGCTTGTTTGTTTTGTGATAGTTTATTTTTTTTGGAACACAGTAGTCCTGAGTTGCCCATAACCGGTATCTCTATCCTCGAATAGATTTGTGAGCGTGGATGTAGTCAAGGGTAGTTCTTTCTGTGTATTTGTTGGCTCGGGTGTATACAGTGACCAAATTGGGATGTAGGTGTGAATGACCGTAATCACGTATACGTAATATGACGAATGTGCAGAACTCTGTTTTGTGGAAACATCACAAATGTAAACGCACACACAAGCACACCTTAGCGCTTAACATACATACTCAAACGTATACACACATATGTGAACATGTACACACACACACACACACACGCGCGCGCACACACACACACGCACACACACACTTATATATATATATTTATATATATATATATATTTATTTATATGTACACTTATATATATTTATACATATCA